TGCTCCTTACACACTGTATCAGTGCATGCTCCTTACCTCTCTCTCTCTTCAGCACTGGAAGTCGGGGTTCAGCTGTGACCAACACTGACCCCCCGGAGCCGCTGCAGTGCTTCAGAATTTCATACAAGTCTTTGTAGGTCAGGTATCTTAACAATGTTGCTGTTTAGACTGGCAAATTCCCATGCACACACATGGTCGCGGCAGCTGAACAATGAAAGTGCTCTCCCTCTGAGACTGGCTGTGTGGAATCACGCTGGGGGGCTTCCTGCCAGGAAGGGGAACGCCAAGCCAGGCTCAGAGACCCCGGGAACAGTGAAGTTTTCATATGCAGGAGTCTCCAAAGGCCCCTTTACTGAAACAACACAGTGCATTCTGGGTAGAAAAGGGTGGCATTAATCACGTAAACAGATTAATGCGCCTTGCCTGTCCCTCCGCTCTGGGGCTGCGGGAACGCTGGCATCTCGCCTCTGCTGTTCCTACTACATGTAATCTGGGTGATGTATGTAGTTCTGAGGACCGGGTCCTTAGGAAAGATGCCAGTGGCTGGTCCCACAAAAGCAGTGTCTGTCAGAAGGCACTGGCATTGTGTGAGGGTTCAGCCTGAACAAAGAGGGGAAGAGATCTCACGGTCAAGAGAACAAACACCAGCAACACCCCGCTGGGTAATAACAGCATAATAAATTACTCATCATGTCAATGAATGAAGTTAAGCTTTGATTAGAAAACAGCACCATGTCCGATATTGTGAGTTGATGGAGGCAATTTATTAGGCAAGCAGCTGAGTCAGTAGAAGCAGCACCTTTGGTAGGGTGGTACCCAGGCTGCCCGCGGTCCAGTGCATCCATTCTTCATTCTGTTCATCCAGGTCAGAGCAGACCGTGAACATTACAGACCATGAACATTAGACCATGAACTTCTACTGAAGTTCTGCCGGTACTTTCTGTCTCCCATCAGGGCTAAATGTGTGAGTTTGTTTCTGCGACAGATTTTGTGCATGAGAATCTGGGCTCTTTTTGTGTAGCTAAACGTCTTTGCGGAGCAGCTCGGTAAGCTGGGAAGAAGGAAGACAGATTTGCATCAAGATGTGGTGGATTTTTAATATTTTTTTTGGATGAGGTCCATGACTGGTGGAATTTTCTCACTGTTTTTAATAAATTCGGGGAGAACGAGAACAACAAACAGCTCGTCCGCTCGTCCTGGTTCCCCGTGGGAGGTGTTTCCTGTTCTCGCCCCCTGTTGACAGAACAGGGAAGCGCAGGCATCCTGGCCATACAGACGAACAGCAAACTGGCCGCTTTTTTTCTGGTGTACTTCATTGGCTGAGCACGTCGTTTGTCACTGATGGGTGCATTTACGGCTGAGTAATGTCCCCGATGAGACGCTACGAAATGACAAGCAGGTGTTACTGGGCATTAGTGTGCCCTGTGTTCTACATAAGTAGCCATCTTTAGTGGTACTGCTGCAAAGGCAATTTAGAGACGGGTCAACGGTGGGTTTGAGCGTGAGGCTCATGGTGGGTATACCGCTCGCAGAGCCCCAACATGGAGTCGGGTTTGCATGGATCTTTTTTCATGGTGATTGATCACCAGCCTGAAATCTGCAGGCAACTCGGGTAGAGAAACTCGGCTCATCCTGACTGGACTCATTACCTTATTATGGTTAAATATGGGCAGCTGCGTGGAAATGGGAGGACAGGGCAGTTTGATATATTCTCTAATTCCAGAGAGTCATGGTCCTTTGGCTCTGTGCTATTTGAGTTAGCTTAAGCTTACAGCACGTCGTCCTTCACCATCAGGCCACCTGTGTATGTATCTGATACCGTTCAAGCAGAAGATCACACTGTATCTGCTCACAGAAATGGTCTTTTGCCTTTGTTTACAGTGCGAAAGCTATGGGACACTCTGCCTGGCTTTTGTGGTGATTTAACGCCGGATTCCCGTGCCTTTGCACCTTCTCCGTTTTCAGGAGAAGCAGCGCTTCCTGACGGACGTCCTGCATGAAGTGATGCTGCTGGACGGCCTGGCCAGCTCTCACCCCATCTCGCAGGAGGTCTACCAGGCTGCAGACATCGACAGGGTCTTCGACTGGATCGCGTACAAGAAGGCCAGTGATGACCCCCCATCCTTTCTGCTGGCCTCTGCATGTCCTGGGTTCTGGTGTGAATGGGGGGGTGGCGAGGTCTGTTAATCCAAAAGCTGTCAGTGTGGTTGGGACAGAGGGATTCTCGATAAATCGGAATGAGAAGTGAATTTAACAGATATTAATAATCGCCTTGGAGGAGTGATTACACAGCCGAAAACGTATCTCAGCAAATGCAGAATTGCTGTAATTGCCGTCGTCACAAGATTAATGCTTTTTTATTAACTTCTGCAAGGTGGTCACTGCACAGCCAAAAATGTCCCAGAAGTTTCGGAATTATACCGAATTGGCCCGACCGGCAGTATCCTTGACAGAGAACAGAATTGCTGTGCACATTGGCAGTACCGTTTCAGAGGTGGGCCAATAATGCTGGTTACTCTTAGCAGGGCCTGAAGCTCATGTCTGGCCGGCCATTATTTATGTTACACCCTGCGATCTCCATGACGATCTCCATGACGATCTCCATGACCAGGGATAGTTAGAGCTTCTGAAGCTCCCTCCCCATGGCGACTCATCCACATGCCCGTCTTATTCTAGCAAAAGCCTTGCTGCTTCCCATTGGTCGTCTAACCTGTCAATCTGTGGTGGGCGTTGCCCACGTCAATGGTACGTCACCATAGATTGGCTTGTCAGGATCCACCCAGGTTGGGGATCAGTGCGGGCAGAGACAACAGGCAAGGTGAGGTGAGATATTAGGGAAACATGTCACTGGTCCGTGGTTTTGTTCAGTTTTGTATTGTTATTGAGTCTGGAAAGTTCTCTCCAGGTTTCAGCCTGCTGGTTTGTTTGTCTTCTATGGGGGGGTGGGTGTGTTAACAAATTGTATGATTCAGAACCGTTCCGCTGGTGCTGCACATTGTATCGGTGGATGTCTGGCCCAAACGGCACAGATTGGCGGACATCCTTCTGAGCAAAGCTGCAGCGGGGCGCAGCCCCCTCCTAACGGGTCTCCCTCTCTGTCTCCCAGGGGGCTGCCCTGATCCGCATGCTGGCCAATGTGCTGGGCCAGCCCGTCTTCCAGAGGGCACTGAATGTAGGTAAAAAGCGCGCGCTGCTGCCATGGCAGTGATGTCCCAGTGCTTACAGTGTGCGGGTGGCTGAGCTCGCGCTGCTGCTGCCATGGCAGTGATATTCCAGTGCTTACAGTGTGCGGGTGGCTGAGCATGAGCATCCGGCTTCACCGATGAGTGAGACTGTGGCTGTTCCCTCCGCCAGGTTTATCCTCACACAGGGTAACCATGGAATGTCTCGTTAAGGGTCAAATCAAGCACAAGTGTTCAGACGGCGAGTGGCTCCGTCCGACTGGTCACACATTCAAAGAAGAAATGCAACAGAAAAAACATCCAATAGAAGCCTGAATGATTCTGACCTAAATTATCTTTCTGGGACACTGTTTGGAAATTTAAGAGCACGTTTTACATTCTACAGCAAGCCGCGTTTATACATAGAAATAAATGGCGCAGGACTGAAACGTATCATAATTTTTCAGCTAATGCATTACCACTGGATTTTAATACCCCGGTAAACCCAATATTCAGTGGTCTTCTCAATTACAAAGAAGTGTATTTAACCCTGAAAAAACATGCTAGGTTTGGATTTTTTCTCCCTGTTGAATGAACACGGATACAAGGCCAGTCTATTCATTTATGCAAATTTACATTTTATCTGTCAGCCTGACCTGCTGGTTCTAGTGCTTCATGCTCTGACACTGTTGCACAGGATGGGTACAGACCCCCCAGCCCCCCACCCCCGAGGAGGTATGGCCATTTTGTATACTCGTGCATCCATGTCGACGGCCGGAGTGGTGCACTTAGCACATTTAACAAAGACCTGACATTTTCAGCAGAAGCTCTAGGGGACCAGGATGCCTCCTCAGATCACAGCTGAGATACCCACCCCTTTGTCTTTGCCTATTCAGGCAGAAGTAGGCTCACTGTCACATCAATAAATATTCCACTCTTTCACATTTTATGCCTATAAATAAGGTACTTGGTCACACAGGTACATTTAACAAGCCTCTACAAACACTTGTTAGAAGCACAACATTCAAGTCTAATCCTGAGGTTGTACGGTCAGTTTGACCCTCTCACTATACAAGAATGACGTCCTGCTCCAAATCTGTGCTCTTACGGTTTTAGATACCTCCTTAACAGTGAGTCTGAAAGTTTTTAGCTCAGCTGAAGAATAATTTATTGGCCAAATGATGGGTTATGTTGTTGCACTCTTCATAGCTTGTCTTTGAACAAGTGTGGTAGCTTTTGCTTGTTTTTTGCAGGGACAGAAGACTCATACTGAGAGGTCAACACTGTATTTGTAATATTCATGCGTCGCGCTTGTACTATATTTCTAAAAATGCACCTGCACTTAGGAATGTACATCGAGGTTCGGGATGATTCATATGGGCTGCAGTGAATGATTAATCCAGCCAGGTGCCAGCAGGGGGCAGTGTGACCACAGGGGGCCGTGTGACCGTAGGGGGCCGTGTGACCGTAGGGGGCAGTGTGACCACCTCCAGTGCACAGATCCCCCCTGGTGCAAAAACAAATGCTTATATGCATGCCGGGCTCTCCACAGGGCTGCGTCCTGGCTGTGCCCCCCGGGTCAGCGCCCCCGTCAGTGTTTATGGCTTCCTCGCACATAGACGTGCCCCCCCACCCAGAGGCAGGCGTGCTCCTCACACGACGCCTCCAGATTTTAAGGAGGATCACATTGTCGCTAAGCACCACGTGGCCCTCCCCTGCCTGGATGCCCCACAACAACCACAAATGAACGGTCACATCTCAGCGGTGTGGGGGGGAGAACAATCAGAGCTTGTCTAAGTCCATGTGGAGCTTTAGGCGCAGCCTGCAATTCCCACCCTCAGGTCATAATAGCCAGGTGTTGTTCTTGCCCCACCCGATATATCAAGAATACATCGGGTGCATCCTTGCAAAAGGAGACCAATCAAGTTCGTTCTTGGAAGGCAAAATAGCCAGACCATTCTTGCCAAGACCACAAGTACGATCTTTGCATTTTTGGTATTGAGAGACGCCCCGTGTGGCCACTCTGAAGATGGCGCCCTAGACATTTACACCTCTTTGGCTCACATTCCAACCTTCGCCGCTGATTGATTTATGTGTAACACCTCCCTGTTTGTAGCTCTTGTGAATAAATACCCTGCTGCTGTGGGTAAACAGCCCCCATCTGGGCGAGAGAGGACAGTGAGCCCGTTTGAAGCAGGTCTGGATTAACGAATTAAAGAAATAATCAGAATTAAGCGTCGCATCTGAACGAGGTTTTATGCAGCGTCGCTATAGACAGGAGAGAGATTTCTATAGAAATATGAGAGATATATGCACTGTACAGCCTTTGCCCAAAGAGTGAATGAGCTTTAGAGTTTAAAATAATACATTCAAAGAGAGATTGCCCTGCTTTAGAGTTATTTTAATTATATTTTCCCATTTAACTCCATAGACAGCTGTGAAGTCTATTGACCTTGCAGTTATTTCCCCATTAAGCTGGGTTTCTATGCGTTATCAGTCAGGGAGATATGAGTAGCGCAGCCCATGCTGCTAATTGCCGAGGCTAAAATAGCAGAAGGCTAAGATAGCTCATGTTTATGAATATGCGTGTGATAAATGCAGTGGCCTCCTCCCACCTGCCTGCACTGCACGGACCGGCACTCCTTCTTCAGTGCGGACTGTGAACCTGGCACCCCTGCACTGTGATCTGACCGAACAGCATCCCCAGAGCCCGAGCCTGAGCCTTAAACTCCTCAGAATTAATAACACGGTGCTTTCTCTGACTTTCCAGCCTGCTGTCTTAGGCAGAATAGCTAAACACTGTCAGGTCTCATTACGTGGAGTCAGTGGACAGAGACGGAAAAACAGATTAGCTGTAATCTGTCTGTAAATATGGAGATGGTGTGGATGTTCTCCTTCGAGCAAAATGTCTAAATAGCCCCCGCGTTTCTTTGGTAAGTCATTTAGAACTGCAGATTGCTTACAGCTCCTTGTAAATCAGTTTGGAAACAACCTTGGTAATACACAGACAAAAAATATGAATTATTTATATGGAAGCAGACTGTAGTATATTGCAGAAGTCTTATATTAATGTGTAAATTATGAAGTCACTCTGCCTGGATTCATGTTCATCTGAAGAAAATCACAGAGAGACAGAGGAGAAATATGTATTTTTATTCTTCCACTGCATTTTGAATGAATTTGCTCTGTGACTTGATCCCTGGGTTTATTGGGAAGACGATGAGCTGACTGTAACGTGGAATGGAACAAGACAATAAGCACAAGGGGTGGGGCCATGCATGCATGGATGGATGATTCTTATTTTTAAAATCAGAATAAGTCTATGATGTTCCACAGGTCTGTAAGGAAATTAACCTGCCTGAATGGTATTGCAAGAAAGCTTCTATTCTGATCTTAAGCATTGTAGTGTGTTACTTTGATCTGTAAATTCATACTACTTTGCACCGAGGGTGTCATTAGTTGTAATGTGAACACAGTTTAAAAGGAGTGGAATTGGAGCGACACTCACACTCCCAGAATCCTTGGGCTCTAAGTGTCACCGGAACATTACAGGGCACATTTCTGATCCCATCTGCTTAAAACTGATCTTATGTGGACCTGATAATTCATAAATGATATCACAAGTTAAAATATTTATTTTCCTAATTTAATTTCAGGATTGCATTTGGAAGATGTCCTCACAGTGATTCCTTACATAGGGAGACACTGACACCATACAACACGGTCATTAATTACGCATTAAAACATACAAGCTGTGAGTCGCTGAATATCTATATTATTTCAATATGTGTAGCCTGTTTAGATGCACAAAGCGGAATATTGGGCCCATTCCATGCAGCAGCGTTCAGGCTAGAAAAGGGCGTCAGAGCTCCAGTCATGGAAATATGGAGGGCAGCAGGTTCTCCCGGGATCTGAGCAAGAACAAGCCAGGCTGCTGGCATCTTCTGCTGCCCGTCTGGTCCTCATCTAGGTCCCGCCTCCTCTGCCCGCGTCTTGCCGTTCCAGTGCTCTCAGGCTGTAGGCTGATCGTCTTGGAGTCAGACACCACATGTGCAGGCATCGGACTCGGCAGCGGAAACCGAGACCAAAAGGCAAACTTCCCAATCCAAACAATCCGTGCAAATGATCTTAACTTCAGTGTCAGTTTCACAGTGGCACGGCTAAGATATCTATTGCCAGAATTTGCGTTGTTTTTCCGTGGTTAAATACAGTTGACCAATTGGTAGCACAGCCAATGAAACAACCATGTTTCGATGGGGGGGGGGCTTGTTTCGACGGGGGGGCTTGTCGATGCTGTTAGTAGTTGCTTATTAATATGAACCAACTGTTTCCAATAGCATCGCTTCTTGCATACAGTTTAAATCATGCTGCCTCAGGTATAATGTAGGTCACTTAAAAAAATAACATCATACCAGTAAGTGAGGTGAGGTGATCTACTCTTAGAGGGATTTCTTCCATAATCAGTGAACATAATTGCAGGGGGATGTGAGAAGATGATATGCCTACATTTCAGAAGTTATCAGCGTGTTTGGAGGGATGCGTTCTGAGTTTTGGATTAAGGGAGTAGAAGTGGCATGTAGGAATTCATTAATACCAATGAGGATGGTGCCTGCCGACCCTGACAGCGATCCTATACCGGGAATATCTGCGCTGCTGACAGTGTTCCAGCTAATCGTTTACTGGAAACTACTGGTTTCTCAGTTGGTTTTCACAGTTCGAGTTTCTCATACACTTTTTGGAGGGAAGTATGTACTGACAAGAATTTTCACGCTCGTATTCAAAGTGGCTCAGCACAGTAGAACTCGGAACACTTTATCGCCAGTATGTGCAAACATACCAGAATTGGCTGAGGTTTGCTGCCAAACGCCACTGACTTGGACGTGTAATTCAAGGAGTATTTTTTTGTAACACTGTGTTAACCCTTCACTTGCATCTTATGTATAATTTATCATTCGTTTGTGTGTATTTGCACAGACGAGTATTTAAGAGTATTGTTAAATATGAAGTGCGTGTTTTAAGTAGTCTCCCTTGGTTTCAGGACTATTTGAGGACCCACATGTATGGGAACGCTGGGCGAGATGACCTGTGGAACAAGTTCTCTGAGGTAAATCTGCATCTCTGTGATGAGCCAAGACGCAGACTGTCACTGCTGGTGTCTGTGAGGATACTGATGTGGTTTTAATGTGGATGTTTAAGGAGATGGGCGGCATCGAGGACCTGCCGGCTGCAGCACCCTCTTCCGAAACAAATGTCTGTTTTATAGAACTTATTTTTCTTGCATGGTTGATCCCAATGAAAGGAGGAGTGAATAGATGGGATAGAGATGGGCTGCATCTGGGAAATTAATTAATTAATGACAAATGGGAAATGGCTGGCAGTGTCGTGGCAGCTCACGATCATCCCACTGACGTTGCAATTCGCAGCTGCATTCTTCTTATCAGCAGCTGATCGAACTGTGAAGTATTTGTTAATTTCTGAGTGATTGGTGTAGCCTAAGTGTCAGGAACTAACTGTGCTGTCCGGACAAACAACACGCAAATAGGCTCGGACCGTGTGCCCTTCTTCTGAGCCGCTTCCACAGCCCTGTCTTCACTGCGTACTCGTAGCCGGAATGGTCTCTGCAGGCTATTGCCTGCATAATGAAAAATGAAAGGGAAAAAAATGAAACGAAGCCACATTTGGCATTTGTACAAGAACAGGTACCTTGAAATGTGTTTTTTCACATATCATGCCCTCCTGCTCACCCATCATGCTCTCCTTATGGAGGTGAGAGAGGAGCTTGGGGTCTGAGCACAGGGTCAGGCTTTTATCCAGCACCCCTAGGCCATTTTTAAGGGCGTAAAGGCCTTGCTCAAGGTCCCGTCGGAGATGTGGCTCCTCTCCTGATCACAGGCCTAACGTGCCGAGCCACACACCGCCCCCCCCACATGAAGGGTAGACTGTGCTCCTCCGCTCCTCCTCTGCTGATGTGAGTCCTGTGCTCCTGGCCAGACGCTGCTGCAGGATTCTAGAATGTGCCGACGTGTAGAGGAGGTGTTACCGCTCCGAGGGTGGAAGCATGTAAGCATAAAGAATCACGTCTTGTACCGGAGAGCCATCCCAGTCCTGCCTGGGAGTAACCAGTAAAGACAAGGAATGCCCAGTAAAACCACGTGACGCACAGAGTGGAAATGGATTTGCAAAACCAGTAGGGGGAATTGAAACTGGAATTTCGACATGGTGAAAACACACGTATGAAAAACAAGTCGCTATAAGGTTGAGGATGGGAATAACACCCCCACACCTCCCAGCCTATGGGAAAAATGTGTATAATTATAGAAGCCAACACTTTGAGTTCATGCCTACCTGTGTGAAGGGGTTCAAATCACATGTGCAGCCCCAGAATGAGTGTGAGCATGAATAAAATGTAAATTGTATCCAGCAGCAATAATACGCTGAAGATCAGGCAATATTCACACTCTCAGACAGATGAAGCAGCCAGCACTCGACATCATTAGCTCTGCTTAACTGCCATGGCAGTTGTTTCTCTCTGCTCAGATTAACACGACCAGCCTGGGTTATAATTGATTGTGTCCCCCCGTTAGAAGAGTCATGAGAAAGAAAACACTCTGGCTTTCTCATATCGTTAGGAGACTGTGAGTGAGTCAGACTCTACCAGGCTGCTTGCTGGAGATGCCTTTCCAAGCATACAGATCACATGAGTCATGGTCGATGTTGCATTTACGTTGATTCATCTGGGTTGTCATCCCATTACATGCCCCACATGATTCTTCACTGTTCATTTTTTTAGGGGTCTTCAGCGGCACTCTGTGTCTCAGAGGGTTCGGACGCTGTGCCTGTGATCAGAAGGTTGCTGGTTTAAACCCCAGGGTTGGCAGAGTGACGTCACTGTTGGCCCCCTGATCGAGGCCATTAACCCAATTGCTGACTGGTCCTGCTTTCTCAAAAAGATTCTCTGTCATTTTGGATTAAAGCCTTTGCCAGATAAATAAAATGTAAATGTGTTTTTTTGAGAATTAAGGTAGAAATATACTCCTTTTATCAATGCATGACTTCTGGCTCTCATGCTCTTGGATGAAAGTTCCTTTAACAGTTTTATAACAACCTGAAAAACCTGCTCAGTAGGAAATGACTTTTTACAGGCAGTAAACTCAGGCAGTGGCTCTGGTCGTGTTCCCCGGGAGTCAGCCTCATCTCCTGTGACTAAACACTGGTCCTGCTTACAGGAGCTCTTCGGTAATAGGCGTTAAATTCCAGCCCACTCTCCTTATTTACTCAGAAATAGTAATGATTCACCTATTTACTCAGAAATAATAATGATTCACCTATTCACTCAGTAATAGTAATGATTCACCTATTGACTCAGAAATAGTAATGATTCATCTATTCACTCAGTAATAGTAATGATTCACCTATTCACTCAGTAATAGTAATGATTCATCTATTAACCATCGTAAGAACCTGTGACCCATTAAAGGCAGGAAATCACATCCATCTTGATACAACGTTGCTCATTAGATTGTACCAACAGAGAAGCTACGTGGGAAGGAACTTTTTGGGTCTGAAAAAGTTGCAGTTTGGTTGAGCCGTGCCACATAACTGTATCACTAGAAGTGGCTTACTGGCCTGTGTTCTGCTCCCTGTCCCGTAAGGCGATGCAGAAGGAAGGGAAGCACATCAACATCAAGGAGGTGATGGACGGCTGGACGCTGCAGATGGGCTATCCTGTGGTAACCATCAGCAGAAACGAGAGTCTGGACCACAGCGTGACCATCAGTCAGGAGCACTTCCTCTACCACGCTGATGCCAAGAGAGCGGACATGAAGCTCTTCAACACCAGGTATCTCCATTCCCAGTTGTTGCCTTGATCATATGAGGCTGGATATCTGTGACCTAGTACCCAGTACTTAGCTAATGCAGGAACACGAGGAAATGAAGTAATAAAGGCACATTGTTTAGTATCTGTTTAATTTTGGCCAAAGTTTGGCCATTTTTGGTCAGTCACCCTACCTTCCAACCTGTTGTCATGTATGTTTTTAAACTTCCTACCACATAAGTTTATTTTTAGAGTTGCTGTGCTTTTATATATGTTCAGCTCTCCTGCGTTGGTCTCTGTTATCTGAATGTGTTTGAAAGATACAAAATCTTTATTGACCATGTGCAACAGGTGCACTGGAGTGCTCAGTCAGCCTCACACGGGCAGCTTCACTCGGGCAGCCTCACACGGGCAGCTTCACTCGGGCAGCCTCACACGGGCAGCCTCACTCGGGCAGCTTCACTCGGGCAGCCTCACTCGGGCAGCTTCACTCGGGCAGCCTCACACGGGCAGCCTCACTCGGGCAGCTTCACTCGGGCAGCCTCACAAGGGCAGCTTCACTCGGGCAGCCTCACTCGGGCAGCCTCACTCGGGCAGCTTCACTCGGGCAGCCTCACTCGGGCAGCTTCACTGGGGCAGGCTCACTCGGGCAGCTTCACACGGGCAGCTTTACTTCGGCAGCCTCACACGGGCAGCCTCACTTGGGCAGCTTCACTCGGGCAGCCTCACTCGGGTTGCTTCACACGGGCAGCCTCACTCGGGCAGCCTCACTCGGGCAGCTTCACTCGGGCAGCTTCACACGGGCAGCTTCACACGGGCAGCTTCACACGGGCAGCTTCACTCGGGCAGCCTCACACGGGCAGCTTCACTCGGGCAGCCTCACTCAGGCAGCCTCACTCGGGCAGCTTCACACGGGCAGCTTCACACGGGCAGCTTCACTTGGTCAGCCTCATGGTGCAACATGGTGCATAACAAGATAAGATAATAAGTGCACCACAATAAATACATTGCAAAACAATACAAGACAGTGCAAAATACAGACGTTGCAGAAAAGCTCAGTTAGTGCAAAACAATATAGATTATGGATATGACTGTTACAGGAAATATGGGTTTTGGACATTCAACTGGCTGGGGGATGGAAGCTTGAAGCTTTGAATCTGGCAGTCAAAGGGTAGCGGATGACTCAGGCACTTCATACCTGTCACCCTGTGTCTCATCATGGACAGCTTTGCTGACCTGCGGTTTCTGCCACTAAATATCAACATAAAAGCAGTGCATAGGGACCTTGTTGAAGGCCGGCTCTCATTAGCAGCCCTGCTGAGGCATTTTAGTGCGATCCCAGACCGCCCGATGGGGATTTGCCTGAGCCGAAGGCAACGGAAACATTTTGTGCCGAGCGCGGAAAAAGGGGGGCCGTGTCATTGTTAGATCTGAGACCGGAGGGTCATTGGAGTCCATTAGACGTCAGGTTACCATTCTTTGAGTGTTCAGCTGGTGCCTTTCGTAGCTTCCACATCCTGATATAAGACTATTTTAGTACATATTGTTCGATTTATCATACTTATCTGTTTATGTAAATATTGCTGTTGCTCAGAATCTGATGTTTGAGGTTTATGTATATGCTCACATGTTTGCTTTTGGGCCAGTTTGATTAGATAAAAGGGGCCAAGCAGGAGGTAGAGTGTTTTATTTAGTTTGTGGGGTGCTGAAGGATGAATCTGCCTCCATCCACCGCTAATTATTTGGAAGATGCTCCATCCGCCTTCAGGTGAACCTACACCTTACAAAGGAAATTATTCCCCTTACTGGGGCAAATTTTTTTAACCTGCTAATGTTTAATGAAGGGTCCCTTCAGCGCATCTCTGAAGGGTGGTGACAGTGTGTCCGCCTGTCCGTTCTTTATTGATGCATTTACCGCGATGCACATGCAGTGAATACATGCTGTACCTTAAACAGCCTGCTATCGTCAGTGTGGTTCTGTAAGAGCTCAGACCAGGGCAGCTGTGTGAGCCTGCTATCGTCAGCGTGGTTCTGTAAGAGCTCAGACCAGGGCAGCTGTGTGAGCCTGCTATCGTCAGCGTGGTTCTGTAAGAGCTCAGACCAGGGCAGCT